CTTTATATCTTATATATATATCCAGCTCCTTTATATCTTATATATATCCAGCTCCTTTATATCTTATATATATGTCCTTATGTATCTTAAATCATGCATGTTTGTAAGAAAATGAATGCAGAGACTGACAGCCTGTTTGTATAGTCACCATCCTTTTAATAGGCAGAAAACAGTGATTATGGAAGTAGCTTTGTGCATCTATCTTTAGTCTAATTTACTGTACATTCTGCTCAGGCTAGTGAGCTCTAGTGTTATCTAAAGCTAACCATTCTTGAGGAGAAATTCATAATAACCCTATGTTTATAAATTTATTTTTTCTTATTTTCATAGCCATAAAGTTTTTGTCCATTTGTCATTTTTTGGGTTTATTTATTTATTTATTTATTTTTATTTACCACTCAGGACAAATAGGAAACAGAAACAATAAGTGTATTAGGAAAGATATATGTGTTGTTGGGTTTATTTTTCTTCTTTTTGTTTTATTAATTATTCATTTATTGAAGATATGGTCTCATGTATCCCAAACTAGCTTTAGACTCACTGTGCAGTTAAGGATTACCTTGAATGCCTGGATATTCTTCCTCTACTTTTCATGTGCAGAGATTACAGACATGCTGACCACCATACCCTAGTTTATGTGGTGCTGGAGATGAAATCCAGTGTTTCACAAATGCTTACTGAATTGAAATATATCTTCAGCCCCTTTACATGATTTTTTCTTGCTTCTTTATTTTTCAACAGGTACCCTGTCTGGTCAGAGTGGAACTTCAGTCTTAAACCCTCAGCAGACCCTCCATCCCCCAGGCAACACCCCAGAGACTGGACACAACCAGCTGTTACAGCCTCTTAAGCCATCTCCCTCTAGTGATAACCTCTATTCAGCCTTTACCAGTGATGGTGCCATTTCAGTACCAAGCCTTTCTGCTCCAGGTCAAGGTAAGAATTCAAAGTGACCACCACCTTCTGGAAACATTAAAATAGAATTATTGCCTTATTTTTTACAAAAGCAAGATGAATAACTTACTGCCATCAGCTGAGTAATGACTAGCCATTGAGCTTAGCAGGAAAGCTGAATAGGGATTAGAATCAGTGGCCTCTTTGCTTCCAGCCATCTGGTAAGATAGCTTCTTTTTGTTTGTTGTTGTGTAGACAGCACCTCACTATGTAGCCTAGACTGCCCTGATCTGTAACTCAGTGTGGAACTCAGGCTAATCTTGAACTCCTGGAAGTTCTCTTGCTTCAGCCTCCCACGTGCTGGAGTTAGAGGTGTAAGCCATCAAACCCAGCTCTGAAATAGCTCTTTTTCAAAGAGTGATCATTACACCTGCAGCCTATATGTATAGTTTATTTAAGACTTAGACATTAACGTTTCACAGTAAGCCAAGACTTGTGGACAAAATTCTAAGGAGTTGCTGGCAGTTTTTAAAAACTACTGTCTTTTTTTTCCCCCTTAAGCCAATGTGCTTTTAAACTTCTAAGCATGATAGCAACATACTGAAATGACTGGCCCTAACATCTATTTTTTTTTTTTAAATACATAGTGAACGTTGATTTAGTAAGGAAAATAAGAAAATTCCAGAAAGTGAGAGGGGCTCCAAGAGAGAAATATCCTAAGATCAAATTCTTGATCCTTACTCTACTTTCCAAAATAATGTTTTGTTTAGTATTATTCAAAACATTACAGCACAGAGCTTTTAGTAAGTAAAATTAAGTAAGAACTGGAAGAAGAGACTGGGTATAGTAGTGGGTAAGAGCACTAGCTGCTTTTGCAGAGGATCTGGGTTCAGTTCACAGCACTCACGTGTAGGCTCACAGCCATCCCAGGGGATCTGATGCTCTCTGCTGAATTGGGTGTTTGGGTAGAAAGGAATGGGTGGACACACTACAGAAAAGTAAGAGCCTCTTGCACAGTTACATAAAATCTAGACATTCAATTTTCCCTTCACCAAGTTAATGTATTTGCTTAATAAGACACAACACAAAGTTGCCAGCATTGTTCCAACTGAAAAAAGCTTCATTTCTGCCAATGGAGTGAGGTCTGGCGTCTCTGTCTCATACAGCAGATAAGACTTCTGCGGATCTCACTCTTGTACATGCCATCCAGTGTGTCACCACTCCAGCCTCAAGCTCTAACATCTTGTAGTTGTGTTGTCTCTTCTCCTCTGTTCTTTCCTTTTCCCTTCTCACAGGCTGTGCGAAGTTTAACTGTGCATCTGAGCAGGTGACATTCAAACCTGGTGGCAGGAGGACCCGATTTCTGAGTACGCCCTGCTTGGCTCTTTGTGTGTAACACCTTTACTCCTTCCTTGTCCTTGTTTTTCTGCTGCTTTGGATCTGATTTGTCACGCAGTCCATTTTCATTTGTCTCTTTTATATTTCATCTACTCAGTGGCTTGGCTGATTGTTACCCTCAGAAGTTTGGGTCCCCATATTAATTATAGTAAATGATCCAGAAACAACAGTCATTTTTTAGAAGTTTCAAATAACTCCCAGGTAGAATTGTTTCTTTTAGATCTATTCTAGGCTGCAATACACAGTCTACACAGTCATATTTGGTGATGTTAGTGGTGGTCATGTGCCCATGAATCCCGTGTTAGAGTGAGAAAAGCCAAGGTTGCAAGTTTGAGGACAGCATGGACCACATAGCAAGTCCCTTTCTCAAAATTAAAATTTAGAGGAAAAAAAAAAGGACAAGAAGCATGTTCCTAACCAATCCTAACTGAAGGTAAAAGCTCACCTTCTCAATTAAGCCTGAGTATGTGCGAGTTGAAAAGATGCTAGGAATCCCTTTCTACTATTACCAACTCCATGAAACTAAGTATTTCAAAGAACATTTAGTATAGTTATCTTGACAAGGCATTTATTCTTTTGAAGACCAAAGCTAAATACCTGCACATGAAATTTGTCATTTTAATATTAATATAATTTCCTCGCTTTCTATTTAAAAATAAGGTACAGGAAGGTAGAAATATACTTCAGAAAAGTGCTTGCTATGTAGAGGGCCTGAGTTTGATCCCTAGAACCTAAGTTAAAAGCTTTGACATATTGGCTTGTACTTGTAATCCTAGTAGTAGCAAATTTGGAGAAAGGATCCCAGGTCTCGCGAGCAAATCAGTTTAGTCATGTTACCAAGCCCCAGTCCAATAAGAGACCCTTCCTCAGAAAAACCTGGGTGTTCTCATGAAGACCCACACCTGAAGTTGTGCTCCAACCTCCACATGTACCTATACACAGAAGAGCACCCACCAAAAGAAAAAGGTATGTGTGGGGCTAGAAAGATTGCTCAATAGTTAAAGCACTGGCTGCTCTTTCAGTGGATTCAGGTTCAATTTCCAACACCCTCATGGCAGCTCACAACTGTCTACAATGCCAGTTCCAGGGAATCCTACATCCTCCTCTGGCCTTAGAACACCGTACACACTAGGTACACAGACATACAGGCAAAACACCCATACATGTGAAATAAAAATAAATAAATCTTACTTTAATCATTAAGAATAAGGTGAAATCTGCACAAGAGCAAATTGCCCTATCTTGTCTTCTCCAGGTAAGGAATGAATAGTCAGTGCCTACTTCCTAGGGTTATTGTGCAATTTAAATATGATGCTGTCCATAAAAACATCTGGTACTTAGCAGGTGGCCAGTAAGTGTATATTGAGAGAAAAAAGTTACAAAGAAAATAACTTGATTAGCATTTGAATAACAATCAGTTAAGGCCTCAAACTTCTGGTGTGGTTATTAGTGCTTTTAAATGCATGTGCTAAAGCCATCAGTGTTTCTAAGTATGGCTCAGGGAACCTTTGGCCTCTTCATGGTGGGAAGAATTTGCTCTCTGCTCTGTTCTTGTACCTATGTGTATTAGACTTAACCTCTGTTTCCCTCACTGACATATTTGTCATCCTTGCTCCCCTGTTGTTTTTCTCCTGAGTTAGTTGTGGATTGCTTCTGCCTATAGCCTTCTTGTACCGCATTCCCACACATGTCAGTGGTCCAGGGCTGAGCTCTTCAACAAAGTGGCTGGAGGGCAGTGTCCATTTTGGTAGTTTCCAAGCATGCATAATTTGGGTATCAATAGCTTTTTTTTTTTTTTTTATTAATGTAGCTTTGACTACATATGTTATGAGCACACTTGAATAAGCATTTAGTTTATATGTCCAGCTAGAAAGATGTAAGGGTATTAATAATAGAATGGGTATTTTGCAGTAAAATGTGACGTGCTCACTCTGTAATACACAGCCTGATACATTTGAGGGAAAAAAAAGGCAAAGCAGGGCTTCTTTCTGTGAAATCTGATATGCACCATTTGAATTAATTTTGTATCTCACAGCGTACTCCTAAGTATATGTAGTATTATCTGTTTGAAAATGAAAGGCCTATCAAAGGTGCATCATAATATGTCAAGTAAAACTGCTGGACAAATTCTAGGAGGCAGATTTTTAAAAATATATAGAAAACAGGTGCTTGAAAGGGTGGGAGACCCTTACTAGTTTTGGATACATTATCCTATGTTCTCAAAATAGTTTGGAAGCACGGCTTGGCTTAATGCTCTATCTATATTTAAAGGTTGCTTGTTTTCCACATACTTCTAAATTGTTTTTGGAAGGGATGGAGCATATGGGGGGGAGGAGCGAGAGCAAGTCTGTGTGTGTGGTGTAGGGTGTGTGTGTGTGTGTACACACGGGTGTGTACCTAGGATGTGGAAATATAACAACCAGTTTAAATTAACTTAAAGCTGTAACAATGGTACTGATTTAAATGCTTTATAACAACCCAGCAGGAGAAACAGGAAGTAGGACAAGATCAATGGAAGTACTGCTTGGACATTTGGAATTCAAGCAGTGAGACCTGTTCCTTCCTCCTCTAGAGCCTTCCTTAATGCCACATTATATTTTAGAAACAGATTAGGTGTAAAAGCTGAGCATCTGTCATCCAGGCTTCATAGTCCATCTTATATTATGTTAATACTCACAGACCAGTTAGACTTATCCATAGACTTGTATTTACATCGAGGGCTACCAGGTCCCACCCAGCTATGTCCCCTCCTGTGTTCTCTTGCTGGGCCTCTGTGTGCTGTTTGGAGAGTCTGTAAAGATTTTACACTGATATTTCTTTAACACACTGCTCTTTCTTTGTGCTTCAGGGAAGATGGTGAAAAAAGTCTGTCCTTGCAACCAGCTCTGTAGTAATTATCTTTTCTTTCTGTTACTTTTGATCCTGATTGCAAAGCCCTGAGTTCTTTGAACTCTGAAACCTCATTAACTCCCTGTTTCCTAATTTCCATCCATTCCTGCACCCTTTTCTGATATATTCCTTAACATGCTTAATTGCCATATTTAATTACTACTACTTCCAGATTGAGAAACCACTTCATAGTCAGTGCTCTCCTATGAGCCCAGCTGGGTTAGTCGTGGATCCACTGTGTCTCCTGATGTGAGTTTGGAGGTGGAGGGAGCCTAGGATCCATACAGAAGAGTCTCTGAGGCAGGAGCATACTCCCACCACAGCTGGTCACACTGGAAACTCAATGATGATCTAGGTGGACAGATCATATGACAGTAGAAGTTGTTGGCTGCTTGGTTGGTAGAACTTGGCTTTTTAGCCTAGAGATTTCTCATTAAAATAAAGTACAAATGCTAAGAATTTAATACCCAACATGTTATAAAAATATAGAGAGTTAACAAGAAAATTCTATGGGTGGGATTCTTTGGCAGTAAATATGGCTTATAACAGCTGATAGACATGTCTTTATCTGACAACGTAGGGATAGGAGAAACTCAGAACATGAATTTAGTGAAATAAAATCTATCCTTCTTCATAAAGCTTTTGGGGGGAGTGAAAACATTTTATAGTAATCACACATTGCAGAAAGCCTGTTAATCCCACTTTATAGTCAGAAACTACAATAAAAAGCTAACTGTAGGGAGACTCTCACATATTAGGTAAACCTCATTTTCCAAATACAGTATTGAGGAATGTAGACTAAAATGAATGGCATTTGGTTTTAAAGGGCCCTCACAGCATCAAGAGCCACTAGCATCAGACTAGAGAAGTGTGACTTCTGCATGAGCTCTCTGGACAAGCAGTGCTCACACTGACTTGGCTTCTCATCTGGCATCGACAGCTCTGCTCACTTGTGGATATTTTTTTATTGTTTGATCATCTGACCTGTCATCCAGCAGGATGCTAGTCCTCGTGCATGCCACATGCTTGCTTTCTGGGTTTCCTCACTGTTGTAACTGCCTATCCTCATGGCCTGTGCTTCCTCCCACTGCACCTTTGTCCCACACTTGCTATTCAAGGAAGGCTGTTTCCTGTGCTTTTATACTTTCCCACTTGGTTTCCTGTACTGTAGGTGCATTATTCTACCCTTACACTGTATAGTAACAACCCCCTGCAGTTTCAGCAGGCACCATGTGACTGCAACTTGCCACGTCAGCCAAAAGAAGCATGTGAGCATCCTCACTCAGCAGCTTTACCCAAGTTAGCTTTCCTCTGGCACAGACATGCGTTTAGTAGAGACATATTCACTACGTGGTAAAATAGATACACCCTTTGGTACCAACAGGGGATTGCAGTGGGTATTTATAGGTAGGGTTGCTTCAGGTGTGCTGCTGTGCTCTGGTGTGCTGCTTTGGCATTTGAAAGCAGAAAAACGCATGCATTTAGTCCCAGAGTTCCTTGAGTATGGTAGGACTTGCTGGCTCACAAATTTAGTAACCTTTATTTACTGTGTAGTAAATATGAAGTCTGCTAATAAAGTGGGGGATAAAAGCCAAAAATAAGACCATGACTCTTCTTTCCCTCTTCCCTAAAACTTGCCTCTTCGAATAACCTTCAGTGTGCCCTCCAGCTGAACCGAAATCAGGCAGGACACAGACTCCTCCTTTCTTTTTCATCAAACCATAGAAATAGAAATCCTTCATCATAACCTCTACGCCTCCTCTCCCCTCTGCACCTTTGCCTCAGCTGCATTTTCCTGTTGCTTCTACCCAGGAGTGCTTCTTCTGTTGGGAAGAGTGGGGAGAAGGGATGAGAATCCTTGACCAATTAAAACCCAAGTCCTCAAGAAATCATAACTTCATGGAGCTGAAAATTTCAGGCACATCTGCTGCCAAATCTCAGTTCTTTACTCATGGGACATTGAGACATTGACTCCTTCCAAATTTATATTTACAAATTTATGTTTATGGTTCCAGGTGAAAACTTCTGAACAAAGCATGTTGCATCTCATTATTTCTTTCTGTTTAAGAGCATCTGAAGAATGCCATCGTATACATGTAGTCTGGGAACCCCATCTTTTCCACAGAAGCACTGATCTCTGCCTTTGTACTATAACTTGCCCAGTGCACAGTACTTCTTTGGCCCTGCTCTCTACAAAGTTCCATAGCAGCCAGCCCTGTGGACCATATCACTCCCTCATCAGTATGTTGCTGAGAATAGAGTACTGGCAGACAGTCCCAGTGTGAGAAAATGCTTTGTTAGAAAATGCCCTTTCCCTTCATGCCTGCCATCATTCCAAGTTCTTGAGCCTTATCTACAAGCTGTGGAAGAGAAACCATTTTCATTACCTGTTATGCAAAAGCAAATAGATAATACTTCAAAATCTTCCTCTCCTGCATGGCTTCCCAAATATTCTCCCCATTCTGTGGCTTGCCATTCATTATCTTGTGACATTTTCCCCTTTCCCCAGAGTTATATTCTAGACCCCACTTTAATGCTAATGTTGTGTTATTTACAATTCTAGGGACCAGCAGCACAAATACTGTTGGAGGAACAGTGAGTAGCCAGGCTGCCCAGGCTCAGCCTCCTGCCATGACTTCCAGTAGGAAGGGCACATTCACAGATGACCTCCACAAGTTGGTAGACAACTGGGCCCGAGATGCCATGAATCTTTCAGGCAGGAGAGGCAGCAAAGGACACATGAATTATGAGGTGAGTCTCCCCTTTTCCTAACCTGCCAGACTACCAACACACAGACATGTCAGGGACTGCCAAAGCTGGTATGCTTGTCCTTGTCCTTCTTCAGTAGCCTGTGGATTCTAACTATTATTGAGAAAACAAGACAACAATCACTTTGGTACCCTTTTCCTTCAGCATTCTGCACTACCTCTATGTGCACATAAACACCTGGGACATATATACCCATCTCAGATCCTAGTGTTCACTCCTTGTTAAGGTAGAGCCAATAAATATTATGGGAGGCTTTGTTATATTTTGATAATGTTAAGATTAGAACATCTCAGCTCTGGTCCCTGGCCCTCAAATAGGCAGACTAACTCTGTGATACAACAGATAAATAATTTGGTAGCAAAACCTATTCAGATACATTATCATAAGTTAGCTATGGAGGACCACGAGACTCAAGATGAGGTTGTTACTTTATACAGGGTGTTTCCAAAACCCATCTCCACCCAACCTAAAAGAGGGGACTTATGCCCCTAGACCAAGCAGAGAGGGGCCACCCAGAACCCCCTCTGACAGGCAATCTGAATTCTTGCTTAGGCTGCGAGGCTAAGCACTGCAAGG